GTTTTCATTATCATTATCTATCAAAAAAAATATATGGACCCTTCACCCAAATGGCGAATTCTCTTCTAAGTCTATGTTCAGGGCTTTTGACTGCTGAAGATCAGCATCCCTCTTTTCCTTACAAGAAAATTTGGTGCAGCCACATCCCCTCAAGAATTTGCTTCTTTGTATGGGAAGCCTGTCTCCAGAAAATTAATACCTGTGATCTCCTTCAAAAAAAGCTTTCGGGAAGACACTCCATTTCTCCTCATGTTTGTATTTTATGTCTCAGCGAGGGTGAATCTGCAGATCACATCCTTCTTCATTGCAGCTTCACTCAAAGGATATGGTCCCATTTCTTGAATATGGCAGGGTACAGCTGGGCTTTTCCAAAACACATTATGGACAACTTGACCAATGGCAAGGAATAGGGCTTAGCAAAAGGGGTAAAGTCTTTTGGCAACCAGTGCCTCATGCAGTAATGTGGGGCATTTGGGGTGAAAGAAACACCCGTATCTTTGACAATAAAAACAGAACCTTGTAGGAGTTAATCTCAGATATTACCTATCTTTGCATCCTTTGGTCGGTGAATTCAGATCTATTTAAAGGATTTTCAGTCAATGATATTATCAGAAATATTCACCCCTTTCTGTTTCTGCCTCATCCTCAGCAAACTCCCTTGAGGCATCCCATTTCCATCAGTGAAGGTGTGATAATCCTTAATTTTGATGGTTGTGTCTTAGGCAATCCAGGCTTTGCAGGTATTGGTGGTACAGTAAGGGACGAAAGGGGCAATATCTGCTGGACTTTTAGTGGCCCAATCGGTTGGGCCGACTCCACAAAGACTGAAGTGATGGCTGCTCTCACCGGAATCAGGATAATTAAGAATTTGGGTATTCAGAATTTGATCATTGCAGGTGATTCAGCAAATACAATAAAATGGTTAAGAGACAAAAAAGGGGGCCCTTGGAGACTTTATCACTATCTGACTGAAGCTTGGGATTCTTTGGGATGGATTGAATGTTAACTTAGTTTGGATTTCTAGGGATTGCAATCATACCGCAGATGGCCTAGCTAAATTTGGTGTGTATTTGGAGCATCTATATAGTGACAAGCTTCCTCCTTTGTAACTTGTAGGGGTTCCCCCCCCCCTTTTATTCTCAATAAATCTTGGTTAAATTTTCTCAAAAAGATGCAACTCCTGAATCTCAATAGGAAGAAATATCTTTTTCCATACTAATAAAGAAGAAATATCCATTATGTTTTTGTTGATAATGAGTAATGACATCAATCATGTATTAACCTTTGGGCTTCTGTTAGCAGAACCCAGACAGTAATAATGTAGAAAATATCTGCAAATGTCCAATCAGTGGATCACACAAAAATCTCACCACCAGATTACCAATCCATTTTACCAATATTAAGGCATAAAATTTTGAAATTAACCAAAAGATGCACAGGAAATGCATGAAAGAACACATCGGTGCATGACTTAGGAAACTCTAAGGCCTCCCCAAGAAACTTAAAAGTTATATTTTCAGAAAAAGGGATGACCAGATTTCAAGTAAGCGAAATTACCCAAGGGAGGCTGCAAGCTCTTGAGGTGGAACAGAATGGGGATCAAGACCTCTTGGTAAGCGAGCATTGCATATTTGATCATATTGACCACTAGATCCATCTTTTCTCTCTCCATCAATATTCACCTGGAAACAGAATCACATCTTACTCAAAGATACCTAGCAACAATGACTTCCACATAGCTCCTTATGCCATCTAAACCATGCAACAATGGCTCAACATTAACTTGTAATAGCACATAATATTAAAGGGACAACCACCTATGCTTGATGAAAACAGGAAAAGATATGACATCATTCTACCGCTACATAGTCTGGTAAACATAGCAATCATATATCATTATGAGTTATTTGTCAAGGTCCTTGAAGGCCTCTTTGATCTATGAGTAAATATACTTTGGTACTGGATCTATGACTAAAGGTTTAATAAGTATCAGTGTAAGGGTAATCAGAAAATCCCAAGTTAATACATAGTTGTCAAGGCATATAGGCAATTCTGGGTGACTGTGAGCATCTAGTTGCCTAGGCAATAGAATTTTACGAATAAAATTTTAAATTTTATTACGAAGAAAAAAAATTAATTTTTTTGTTAATTCTGTTCCTATCCAAAATGACCAACCCAATCCCATAATGGTTTGGGTTTCCTATATAACAACCATCAGAATCAGCCAATCCACCTCAAATATAGAGGAAGACGAATGCAGATCATGCTGAGATCAATATGAAATAGCATTTAAAAAGAATATATCTAAATAATTATGTCATCACTGGGGTTTATATAGAAAATATGGTTGATGATAAAAAAATAAAAAAGACTGTTTCATGTTAAATTGAAGATACATTAAGAGTTCACTAAGTGCTTACCCGGCGTTGTGGAAACAATTTGCAAATCTGTTTTATAACTACTGACTGTTTGTGAAGGCGTTCAGAGGTAATGGCCATCTGCAATGCATTCAAAAATTTAGGTATTAATCTGCAGTGCATCCAATAGTTCAAACATTAACAATGATAGACAAGTCATGGTTTATATGAGCCTCAGAAAACAACAGTCAGACAGGACAAATGGGATAAAAAAAAATTGACAAATTTATTAACTTTCAATTCCAAAGAAGAGACATAAAAAAAGAGCTTAATATGACAAGTATTCTTACATGACCTAGGCTTTGAGTGCAAATAAGGTTTGGGTAGAAACTCTCTATCTGCTCCACATGATTCTTTTCCAACTGCATTGAAAATGACCAACGTATGTAAGTTACACAATAAAACAACCTCTTGGAGATTATAACTAAAAACTCTAAAGTCAATTGAAAATGGTAAGGTCAGAAATTGTACTACCGTGCACTGAGCTGATTCAAGCATCTCATATCTAACCTTTAAATCATTAGACATATTTTGAAGCATAGCCTTCCCTACAAGAATTATCAACTGGTAAAACTTATGCTAATGTACAACTAGACAACAAAGAACAACGCTTATAAGGAAACCAACTTTGCAGTAGTTGTTTCTCTGCAAGATGGAGCTTCTCCCTCAATCTTGCAAGTTTCTCATTCTGAAGAACTCTCCAATTGATCTGGTCATCCGTTTTACCCTGGTGAGTGAAGCAGGGAAACAGTAACATTAATAATAAAAATGACAACATTGGAATATAAAAAAGAATAAAGAATAAAACAGCTTTTCTATAAGTTATACAGAATGGCATGGTAGCAGCAGCAACCAGGAAATAGGTAAGGACTAAGGAGAAAAAACTAGAAGAAGACCAACAAACATGAATCTAATGGACTGAAAGATTAAGATCAGCTAACCCATAAACTTTTTACTAAAGAGATAAAATAGATATATTACTTTTTCTTCACCTTATACTACATTAACTAATTTTTCAATAGCGATGGAACTCCTAATAAATTCTCATTGTTAAACTTTTCAGCAAGATTTTAATAATATGAGGTTCATCAATCAAAATGACAAAAATGAGAACAGTAACTCTAAGAATGTTTTCTTGTTTAGCAATTGTAGGTCTCTAAACAGGGGATAATCTAAAGCCTATTGGGTAAAAAGAAGGAAACTGATGAGCAGTATGGACATCAACACAACTTTAATATGGGTGCATTAACTCAAGATGGGTTTGTAAAGTTAGGAATAAGGGTTAAATAGGTTTACTGATAAATGTGAAAAGGTATGATAGGTTGTCTTATGAAGGTTCTTGGGGCTTCACTACAAACACTATAAACTTGTCCCAAGACCATGAAAAGTTTCAAATTGAGAAAAGTAGGTCCTCGGTTGGAAATTTTCAGTGGACGTTTGTAAGTAGGTTATAATGGATTTAAAGGGCAACTAATAGAATTCTTAGTAGGTTTGACTTAAGGACAAAAAGACTACTTTGTGGGAAAAATCATGAAAATTCAGGAAGCAATGGCTCTAAGTGGAGTTTTGGGATGGAATTTGGTATGATGAAAGATGAAGACTTGTTGATGGAAGTTGTATCAAGTTTTTCTTTTTCTCAAATATAATTTTCCTTTAACTTGTCAAAAAGAAAGAGATGAAGACTTGTTCAGGGAAACTTAATGTTAAGGTATTTTAGCATGTGGTTTGGCAGTTGGCACAAAAGGACAAACTATTGAATTAGGAAATTCTGAATATTGGGGAACTTCATAATAGAATGTACTTAGGATCAAATCTAGGCCAAGTTTGGGAGTGCTTACTTGAAAAATAAGTGCTTCAAAACAAGTGCCCATTCAACTAAACACTTATTTGCACTTGGCACCCAGCTTTTTCAAGTGCTTGTTTTAAAAAATCACTTATTTATATTGGGTGTTTGGTAGTGTTTTTTTTTCTCCAATGAGCACTAATTCATTTAAAAATACAAATTTAAAGAGTGTCGCATCAAGAAGAATGTTCACCAACTGGATGTACAAGCTTGGAAAATCCCCAACGTTTAGGAAGAAGAAGAAACTGGCATTTACAGGGGGAAAAAAATGAGGTGTCTGTCCAAAGAAATGCTGCTAAATAAAGGTCTTAATCTGCCAGATTGGAGATGCTGTTTTTGCAATATGCAAATGGAATCCTCTGGGCATCTCTTCCTTCATTGCAAGTTCGGTTCTGTAGTATGGTCACACTTCTGCAAATCCCTAAATCTAAGCTGGTGCATGCAAGCCTCAGCTAGAGCTCTGCTAGAGGAGTGGCATATTCAGGGGCTGTCGAAGAAAGGAAAGTTATGCTGGGCTTCCATCCCTCTGGCAGTTGCCAGTTATGTGGACTGTGGTCAGAAAGGAACAACAGGATTTTTGAGGAAAAATCTACTACTGAAGCTGAGGTCATTAACTTGGCAATAGAGGTTTTGAGAAGTTGGATGTCTATACATAATGATTTTACAGATAGTATATCTCATCATACTTTTTTGAGGATGGCCTTTTTTTTGAGGTCCTTCATTTTGTACAGCTTCTCTTTGTACACAGGACCGTATATTAATACAATCATACTTTACCTTCTTTCAAAAAAAAAAAACAGAGCTGAACGAATGTAGTCATGAAAAAACGAATGTAGTGGTTGCTCTTTTTTTTTTGAGAAAATGTAGTGGTTGTTCAGTTGAAGATTAGAAAATGGAGAAAAAATAGAGTAGATAAGAATGTTAACCAACCTGGTTGTGACATGAAGAGTAGAGAAGAAAGTTTCACCGAATAGAGAAAGAAAACTCTATGTTCTTCGAGCAAAGCATAGTTGTCAAGGCAACACCTAGGCGACAAGGCGCCCTTGGAGGCTCGCCTCGCCCAGTCGCCTAGCGGTTTTGTATACTGTCTTATAAAATACTTTTATATTGTTACTTTTTTGAGATTATAATTATAAAATAGACATTATTAAACAAAAGTATTCATTTTTTGTGTTTATAAACTATTTTCTTTTTATTATTTTCTTATTTGTTAGGGTTTAATCAACACAAACATTGCTAACTGATGTATTGAACCCTCAAAGACTTCAGAATTTGAACCAATAAGTAAGGGAAAAACTTAAAGTTTCGTCTAATCAACACATCTCTTCTTCTTTTCCTATAACAAAAAATAGGGGTTCAGTCCCCATATTTTTTGAAATTTCTGGATAGTTATTAAGGAAAGATGGTTCAGTTCTCATAAATATGTTGATTTTCTAGACATAAACATGAAGTTTATAATTTTTTTATGAAAATTATGGATAGTTGTTAAGGATAGATGGTTATGGAACCTAGGGAACTACCTAGAATATGTATTTTTCACTTAAAAAAATCCATTGCCTAGGCGACTAGGCGACAAGGCACCCCCTGTTGCCTAGCCTCACCTAGGCACCTTGAAAACTATGGAGCAAAGGGCACTATTTATTGGCATTTTGAAATATAATCAGGGAGTGTTTTGGAAGGAAAATTCAAATATGTGCTTATTGTATAGGCACTTAGAAATAAGCTAGAATTTTGGGCATCTTGAATAAGTGCTTATCGGTGTGGTCTTGGCCCAAAATAAGTGCTTATTCAAATAAGCACTTATTTTTAAGCACTCCCAAACTTGGCCCTAGACCTTTATTGGTTCAATGATGTTTTCACTAAACATTGGTGAGAATTCAATGCTGGACTCAGTAAACTTTGTTGAGGAAATAAGAGAGATCCATAATCACCCAACTAGAAACTCAAATTGATATTGGGCTTTAAAGAGGCACGCACTAAATGCACAATATGCAAAAAAATAAACACTCAAATATTAAGATCTACATCTTTTGCTAAATACACAGTGACAAACACATATATTAGCGCTGTAAAAAGTCACAAGCAAGACTCACTTTCTAGGTGTGCCTATCCTAGACTTTTTCTATGTTTTGATAAATTAACCCCCTAAACTTCATGTTTGAATAAGTAATTTACTACATTGTTGTTTGATTTCTTAGGGTTTAAATGACCTAGATAGGGGTGGCCACAAGCTGATCTCTTCATGAGCTACTCGAGCTTGGCTCGGTTTCAACCGAGCTTCGAGCCATGCTCGAGCCTATAAATATTATATATATAATTTTTATTTTTATATATAATAATAACTAATTATTATAATTCTTAATTTTTTAAATATCAAATAAAAATATATAACTTTTTTATTTTTATAAAACATTTTTCTCAAGTCAAGCTCGAGCTTACGAGTTTTTGACTCGAGCCGAGCTCAAGCTCAAAGTTCTAGCTCAAACCGAGCTCAAGCCTCGTACTACCTTGGCGAACCGAGCTCGAACCTCATACTATTCGGCTTGGATCAGCTCGAATCTACCCCTAAGACTAGACTATATAGGACTTAAACCTACAAGGCAACAAAACAAGATTTTATTTCTTTTAGAAGTTAGAATTGCATATTGTTATATATTACGGTTTCTTTACTTCTTTTTTATAAGCAGCACCTCAATTCGTTCAAGCATGAACCTCACTTTGTGCCTCAAGTTTTGAGAACCATTGGAAATTTATCTGAATTTCCAGCTTTTAAAACACAAAATGTATTCCTATCTGATGCACTGGCTAAGCCGCTAAGGTAAGGGATAAAAATAAACATGAAAAATATGCATTGGGTGGTTATTCCCCAAGAGGGATGAAATATAAGCAAGAAAATGTTGCTTAAACTTAGGGACTAGGCTAACAAAGTAACAATGGAAGAGGGGTGCTTGGCACAGGCTACTGTAAATCATTATTTTCTTTTATTTTTTTAATTTAATAAAGCTTCTGGTTAACAATAAAAAAAATTATTAGTTAGGTCAAGTAGGGAGCTTCCCAATGTGACCTGTAATGTTTCTTCCATGTGGAAACATAATGCAGCCAATCCAAGTCATTCATTGAATAGGAGACCCTTTAGATTGGCCACCCATTCCATCCTCCAATTCAAACCAGCTCTGCGCACCACCTTTTTTCAGTGTCCTTGACAAATAATATTAGTTGTTAAAATTTTTTATATTTTTAATACTTACCCAAAAATAAGGCTTTATTCTGATCATGTAGCAACAGTTTTTGGGCTCAAATTTTTCCCGTTAATAAAGATAGCAAGAGAAATGTCTGGAGTCAATTTGGGTCCCAGTCCAATCTTGCACTGGAATATTCCTTCTTCAGTTAGCCTTCTTTGCTAAACAATCTAACTAGCAGATAGAGACCCTCTGACTTTAAACACATTACACAAGAGAACTGTCTGGACCTTGTTACATACTTACATGCTTTGTTTCATTAATACATAATCCATAACTGGATAAGAGGTAACAGCAATAAAACTAATGCATAACAAGGAGGAAAAGTGAGTCAAGATACTTGTATGCAGTAAAATATATGCCTAACCTTTGCCTCAAGTTCTGCACTCAATCGCAAATACAGGGAGTCACGGACACTCTTCAATGATTTTAATGCTGTATTGTACTCATTTAATCTGCAAATAAGAGAGCATTTTAAAAGTAGTCAGTAGACACTGACAAAAAAGTACCTTTTGTTCTTGTATCTCGTTAGAACTTTACTTGTGTGGAAGGAAAAAATAACATTAAACAATTGACAGAAATAAAGTATCTGAGCATATTCCATTATTAGCATAAAAATAGCCCAATATAGGGGACCATTAAATAAGGCTTCTTCCAATTTTATCTCTTTCTTTTGTATCAGTGCCAAAAGGATTACAAATGATTTCACAACTTCAACGTTAAAATCTTATTTAACATTTAGTTCAGTTTGAGATCCATAGATCTATGATCTATCACCTTTGCATGGAGACAGACATGGTAATTAGAAGCCAACACATGTTCAGGAGTCTGACTCGGCAAGATGAAATAAAAATGACTCACAGAAACATCCATATAAAAGTATAAACTATTGAAATACTCCATATTTTTTCAAGTTCTAACATTTTATACTTTTATATAGAATGCCTACAACTTTGTATTTGTTTCCTAATAACAGTTTATAGAAAAAAATGGCATAATTGTGCATTTTAGCTGTTCATTTATGACTTATGAGAAATAGGCAAGTTATGTTTTTTTTTATTTTTTTGATAATTGAAATAAGCAAGTTATGTCAAAAGTGTTAATCAAGAATTGATGGAGTGCCAGTTAGAAGAATCCATGCAAAACCGGCCAATATCCGGTCTGTGAATTGCGATAATATGTCTCACAATGACAGGATAAGCATTCCTCATTGTATTCATCTCAACTCCAAGCTAATAAACTTTATTCAATGGTGGCGTCAAAAAGTAATATTCAATGATGTGAACCATCAAACAGCACTAAATACATGATTCGAGAAATCTTACCTGTAATTAACGCACATAGCACATATTGAAGCGTGATTTGAATTCTCGCATATAGCACAGCTACTGGCTCTTCTGGTCATTGTCTGGTTTTACTACACTTTCCTTAAAACCTAGAAGACAAATTAGTAGTTTGGAACAAAATCCCTTAGGAACGAAAATAAAAATACTAAATAAGAACCACTAAACCAAAAGAAGAAAAAAAAAATCAATCTTTGTCTGAAACATTGCAACAAATCACTAAATATTAAGAAAAAGGTTAAAAATACCTACTTAACCGAAATCTCTTCAACTAGAATCACAACCTTCCGTGATTCATATATTGATTTCTACTACAAACCAATTGAATTTCGACGAAATACTTAGAAAGCTAGGAAACAGATTCCCAGTTTCGATTGCAGAAAGTATTTAGGGTTGTAGCGAACGCCAAGGCTCACGAAACACAACAACAAATTCGCTGTTTCCATTCTAGGTTTTCTTTTCAAGCAATGACAGATTCCATAAAGATGATCACCAAAATTCACAATTTGGACATTCAAGAAACGAAGAAGAAAAACAGAAGGAAGAAAAGGAAGAAAAAAAACAATGATTATCAATAAAACGTCTGAGCTTACTTACAGCATACGAATACAGACGTACTCAAGCAGAAGCCTAGCCTCCTCCGTTTAGCACGTAAGATGGAAATTTGTTTCGTTGAGTTGGAAGTTCGAATTCGACAATCGTCGGTTCGTCGCACAGAGACAGAGAGGCGCCCGTTACGATTCCATTTCGTTTCGTGATGGGCCATTGCAGATTCCTGAGGATTGTACATCTCGCTGCAAAAATCATTGGATTGGAATCTTTTCATTAATCGCATAGGTTGTGCCGTCTCTGAAGTTTTCTATTCCGCAAGTGAACGAATTCGGATTTGCTCCTCACACCGACCTCACAGCTACATTTCACCTTGTATTAATAACATTTCCTTTTGAATAATAAATGACAGGAAATATTCTCGATGTGCGATCAGGATATACTGTAAGATCGGTGTGAGGCGCGAAATGTCATGAGCAGATCCTAACTAAAGTGAACATACAAGTCAAGGCTCCAAGCTACGATGACCTGACCCAAATCTGCGATGACAGATGGCCCATCACCGTTGGGCCTTTTTTTATGGGCTTCAATTCAGTCCTGGTTTTGGAAGTCGGGCCTCGCCAAGTTCTGTTTGGCTTCAATTGAGGAGGACTCAGGGAGCCCAAGCCCGATCCTAGCCATATGCATGCGTATCAGCATTGGTGTTGTACATAGGAAAATAGATAAATTACTACAAATAATGTGGAAAGGGATATGTGATTTTTTTAGAGGATTATAGGGCAATTTTTGGGCTCTAATATCAATAAAAGTAATATTTTTAATAAAAATTCAAAATTAAGTTAATTTTTAAAAAATAATATTAAATAAGGGCAAAAACACTGTTCATCTCCTTCCTCCAAACCATTCATCAGCTCCACCCGCTTGCTGTCGTGTGCCGCCACTTCTGGCAACATTGTTAGAGGTGGGAGGAGGCAGAGGCGGTGGCGGCGCTGGCATCCAGCGCTGGCTCCGTAGACAAATTCTCTACCTTAAAAACCGGTGGCTCCAAAGTATAGTTGCAATGGCGGATTTGGTACTCATTCTCTCTCTTATCGTTACTTCTCTCTCCTATCTTTCTCTCTTTCACTCTCTATTCCGCCATCGCTGCTACAACTTGCAATGGCGGATTTGGTACTCTCTTTCACTCTCTCTTTCACTCTCCCCTCCTCTTTCACTCTTTGTTCTGCCACTGCCACTGCCACTACAAGTTGCAGTAGTGGATCTGGTACTCTCTCACCACCTATCGTCCCTATCTCGCATTCTCTCTATTTTCGTTATTTCTCTCTCCTCTATTTTTCTCTATCCCCTCCTCTTTCACTCTCTGTTCCGCCACCACTGCTGCAACTTGTAGTGACAGATTTGGTACTCTCTCGTCACTTTGCATCTCCCTATCAAAATGTATACTGCTAGATCAAAAGCATCGATCTTAGAAGCCGCCTCAGTGACAATAACCTTAGGCTTCTTGGGCTTTTTTCTGCTTTGACTTTTTTCACTTCATTGGCCACATTCTCGCCACCACTAGCAACCTCGCCATCGCCATCATCGTCGGGATGGTGTTTCAGTTTGGGAATGAGCTCGAAAAGAGTTGTAGTAGCGGCCACCTTATGAGCCTCGATGTGGCGGCGGCGCTCCTTGGATTTTTCCTCGAGAGACTAAAAAGTGTTGGGGTTGTCGCCGATGGCGACTACGTTGGGACGGAATTTGTCGGGATCACCGGCGAAGTTAGAGGGTTTGTTCTTTTGTTGGCGTTTGGCATAGGTAACCTTCTACCAGCCATGATCTTTATTGGTGAAAAAAGCATTGTTCAAACTGTTCTCATCGTCTTCGTGGAGAGTTGGTTTGATGGCCGATGCGGTTTTTTCATCCATGATTGTCTATCCTCTGGTTCTTCTTTCTTTAATTTCAAGTTCATTTCAGCTACAAAGATGGGCAGGAACTACTCCAACAACAGCTAAAGAGGGCATTTTTAGGAATGGAGGTGGGAAGGGTGTTTTTGGAATTTGTTATTAATATATTAGTCGCATGATATTATTATATGTAATGGAAAGTTAACGATGAGGATAGACTTGGTCAATTGTTAAAAACAGTATGGATAGTGTCAGTCAATTTTCAAATAGTAAGGGTACACTTAGTTAATTAGCTAAACCATAAGGGTAGTTTAAGAAACTTACCATTTTCCAAAACAATACTCTTCTACTTCACTGTTTGTATGTTTTTTTATGAATAGATTTTTCACCAGATATGGCATGTAATTTACCAATTACATTTACAACATCAGCAAATATAAAGTTAATATATAAATAAATATATACATATATATAAGTGAAAAAACGTTAAAAATTTACTAGCAATGAAGATATCTAGTATCTTCATTTATGTTGACGTTATCAAAATCAATGAAATCAAATATGTGCTTTGGAATTTCTGCAATTTCTTTAGTAACCGGTTCAATCAGAGTAGCCCACTTAAAATATATGACAAATGTGTGCTTTGGAATTTCTTTAGTAACCGGTTCAATCAGAGTAACCGGTTCAATCAAATATGTGCTTTGGAATTTCACAGTTCTGTATGACCATTTACTTTGAACAATATTAAAAGTTTTGAAAAAATATAAAGAACTCCCGCATAACAATTTCTCAAATTTATAAAACAAACTTCTCCTTATAACAGCATGTCTTTGTTCTCCCTACAAAAGAATTAAACAAATAAAAATATATTAATAATTTCAAAGTTAATGAAAAAATAGCAAAATATGTATACTTGCATTTTAATCAATTAATAACATGTCCAAACCCCGTGACTCATCAATATTTTTTAAATCCATTGCTTTCCATAAGCGTGACATTCGTACTTTAATCTTCTAAGAATCAAAATCCGATTTTATTTCATTGATATATAGATAATCTCTTGAAGACATATTGTCACTTACATGTTCATTAGTTTAAGAAATATATTAGACAAAAAATATAAAAATTAGTAAGAAAAAACTATTAATAATCAATATACCTAAATACAAATTATTAAATACTTCATGATAGACAATGTTTTGTATATATCATTCTGGTTTCATTGTCATTATTTTCAATCAAAATTCTTAAACCCTTATTTGATGTTACACAGGAGATTGTCACATATAATTGTCCATGAGTAAATACAGGTCGTGGCAAGTAAATTCCATCATAATTCAAAGTTTGTCCTTCACTTTTATTGATTGTCATTGCAAAACAGACATTCACAGAAAATTGTCTTCATTTAAGAAGAAATGGCCGATTCGAATAAGTTAATGTCATCACCATCCTTACAATGAAAACCTCTTTACCCACATTATTTTAGCTTCAATTACTCTTCTTGCTAATTGAGTAACAATCAGCATTGTTTCATTGCATAACCAATCACTTTGGTTCAAATTTCGTAGAAGAATGATTGAAATTCCAACTTTTAATTCTAGTTCATGATTTGAAATTCCAGAAAACTTCAATGTATTTAAGAACTCAATGGGGAATAAAATATATTGATTCTCAATTGATTTAGAGATATAACTTATTGTGTCTACACTTAAATATGTAGATATATCACCAGGTATAGTAGATAAGATATAATCATTCACTTTATCGACCTTGTCATTTGTAAGTACTAAAATTGTTTTTTCAGTCACCAAGTGTAGTAGATAAGATTTATTGACCTTGTCATTTGTAGGTACTAAAATTGCTCTTTCAGTCAAATAATTGTGGTTTGTATATTTACAATCCAAATCATGATATACAGTAATACAATATTCTTAACAGGATTATTCCCTATAGGTATCAAAAATTATAATAGTATTCTTATTTAACTTGGTTTGTGTTGATTATCCAAAGATAATGCAGGCAATTACCATCTCCAACATTTAATATTTACTTACAAAATTCGTTTAAATTATTTGCAGTCAAATCCTCCAGGTGTCTAACTTGAAGCCTCATATTTATTGTTAAGTAAAAAACAACACATTGATGCCAAAGATATGATTTATTAATCATAGATGAAATAATTGATTCATGCATTCTCTTATTAACAATCGATAAATTTTGTTTGAAATCTCCTTCAAGAAGAATGGGTTTCCCACCAAAAATATTTTTAAAACAACTCGGATCCTTTAAACGCATAAGATCTCTGAAAGTTCTATCTACAAACTTAAATGCATTTTTATGAGTCATTGGATCTTCATCCCAAATTATTAAATCAGTAACTTGGACAACATGTGTTGTCCCCAATTTCAAGGGGAATTTTAAATCTTGAATGGGCAATTATTCCTCTACGTAGTAAAAGCGTTGCAATTCCCAATGAGACACACGGTAACACAATCCTTTGTTCAGACTTTAACTGTGCAATTATTGCTTTCCAAAGATAAGTTTTTCCCATACCTCTATTTTCATGCACAAAAAATAATCATCTAGAATTTGTATGGACTGCTTGTAAAATTGCTTCAAATACAATGTTTTGATCCACATTCAATGAATATGTATGGAATCCTTAAGAAATTCCATCATAATTCATTTCATCTCAAATTAGTCTATTTTCAACCCAAGTTTAAAATGACATATATGGAAATGAAAGTGTTGGAAAATCTTTAAGAGAACTATTACACTTGTTTAATATATTTTCAGTTTCATGTAATGCATAATACTTTAATTGCTCATCTGATAGATTAATTGAATTGTTTTCTAATATTATTCTATGACGATGTAATATATCGTTTGAAAGCAATTCTCAATGTTTATTCTACAACTTGTTAGGGTCTAAAACCTCACAAAATAATAGAATTGTAACAAATATTTATCGTAGTTGTTGACAAGTAGACTACAACCCGGCTTGTTCAATAGCTTTTTGCCACTTATAATCATCATCTAACAATTTAAGTGTTGAACATGTTGACTTAAAGGTAGCGTAGGCGATTCCATTCACTGTTATGATTTTCTCAAAACTCATAGGACCTCTTACAAT